GGTTTATGTAGTGTGGGAGTCATACAGCCTCGGGATAAGTACAAATTCTTTGCTCAGGTGGAAACATTTTCAACACCTGTGGATTCATCTTTGTCTTAAATTCTACTGCCCACATGAAATTTGCATCTGATTGCACCGATCTCATACTGACTTTGTGTTCAGTCTGCACTATGATTTAGCATTTATCATTACTGTGTAATTGTCACAGTTTAAAAATATTTACAACAAACATGGGTCAATAAACACTCACGACACTTAAGTAAATATAAAAATGGTGATTGTAAATGGTCTGCTGAGTGCTGCTCTGATGTCAAACGCATGAAGGTAAATTGAGCCTGCCTCTCTAAAAGGCAGAACTGCCTTCAAAATAAAAGACAAAAAAAGCCCTTGACTTGGCCATTTCTTCATTTATCAATATATGAGCTTTGGCATAAGTATTAGAGGTAAGATGGACAGTCATATAATATTTGATCCAATATCCACATATAAGCTTGTTTGTCTTGTACTGGTCATAATCAATAAAAGTAAACTTAAAAGTAATGAAATCTGAAAGAGTAAGTGAACAGAAGTGCATTGAGAGTGAGTCAAAGCACCTTCTCTGTGCTCATATGGAGAGCTGGCGTTCACTCTCAGGAGAAGCAGAGGACGTAAAAGACACAAGGAAGGTATTATCTAATGTCCAATTACACCCAACCCACCCACATACCTACCTCCCCCTCGGCTCTGCCTGCCTCTCTCTCCCTCTGTCCTTACCTTCATGCTTGCCACCTTCCTTCCCTCTTCCTTAGTATGAAGAGGACACAAGTGATAAACCAGTAGCAGAGAGCCGGTGGTTTACATGGCCCTGGAGCCCATTATGTTTCCCACAATAGGCTGGAGGCCTGGACGTGCAGTGAATAGGTAATGGCTTGGAGATCCAGGGCCTGGTCTGCTGCTGCTCAATGAGCCCGAGACAGCCAAGCAGGAGACGGCCATTAGAGATACCTCGCCGGCCCAGTATGGAGGAGCAGTCTAGTCATAACTAGAGGGGTGGGGGGTGTATCAGGGTGTTACAAATGCCCCTTACATAAGGTGGGGCATGAATAATAACTGTAAGGCCAGGATCTGGTTTATTGACACAAAAATATGGGCGAATAATGTACTAAGAATACATCGACTTTAACACCAGCTGGCTTTTAAAAGTGTCGAGGAGCAGCTTAATGTCAGACTGTATCCGACTGCTCCTCACTTCTTCCAACCTCACCTTCCCAAGTTAGCCATCCACTCAAGCAATCTGTACCTAATCACCGCAAGGTTTAGCCCATGATGAAGATATGTCTTCATTGAGCTAGAAAAGCTATAGTGTCGCCGAGCATTTTTCCTAACGGCGCAGTCCCTCATGTATGAAAGCGCCATAGAGCCCCTCAGACAATTAGGCAGGGAAAAGCTTTATGACCGTTAGACTCACTCAGCGAGCGGCACTCTCACCGCCAGCACCGCCAGGAGCGCTGGCTCGTGCAGAAAGGTAATTACGGAGCCTCTCATAATGACACGGAGGAAGCTTGCGTCATAACACCCACAGCCTTTTATCATAGCGCTGTAATTAATTATCATCCTTTACTCTTTGATTCATTCCACTATTCATAACATATTCATACATTCAAGAGAAATTATCATTTCCTTCAGGAATTAATCAAAAGGAGGAAGAACTGGTCGACTCTCGATGGATGATCAAAGACGGTGTTTGTCTACCTCCCTGCATTGCGGGCGAGCTCAGGGCGAGGCAATATGGGCAAGGTCTTCGAACAAGAGTGAAACACTCGGCTCTCCTACTCCACGGCTCTGGTCAAACCAACTACATGATTGAAAACACAGCTCCCAGACAAATGATGGCAATCCAAACAACTGGCACATTATCTGTTATCTGTTGCACATTATCCCTCCCTTCTTCTGTCATTCACAAACGCACCGTGTGACAGGACAGATTGTGAAAATACATAATGGCGACATGAGCAGCTCTGTCCACGAAAGAGAAGCATAAATCACAACAATACAACCTCTACCTTTCCTGAACATCGGTTGCATACGTGAGACGGAGCAGCCATTTTGAGATCTCTGCTCAGTTTCGTGGGGTTAAAAAGCTGCTGCATATTCAAAATACCTCCTGTGCTCTCACAGAAAACAAGCAACAACAACAACATACATAAAAACATTGTCTTCCCCCACATCATCACTTCCAACCTCAGGGGAAGAAATGGCACAGTTAGACTCATAAACAGGTGTCCACCGGCCCCCAGATCGCAGCGCTTTAATAGCTGTTTGATGTTTTTGATGTCTAGTCAGCTCAATCGTACCTTGCTGCTTGATAATGAGGGCCAATAATGATTCCTGAGCTTGAGGGGTTAATGGTATGTAACCGGCAGAGCTGCTAATTACACGTTACAAACTATTTATCAGAATCTCCATCTGCGCATTGTGCACGCTAAATTACTCCACGGATTATCATTGTAAAGCAAGTTTCAGTAATTAGGGACCCATACTGCTGTTTTCTTTTTCTGTGAGCACCAAACGACATCAGGAGGAGAGGAGAAAAATAGAAAGACTGGTTAATGTGGGCCTGATATTCAGACTGGTGCAGGCCAGATGCAGAGAGGAATCATCCTCTCCTGAAGAAGAAAAAAGAGGTTACAAACAAGGAATCTGTCACTGTACTTTTTTTTTCTGTCTCACAAAGGTTTATCCTGAGGGGAGTTTACACTCTAAAGTGAGAGGGAGGTGTAAATTGCATTGAGAAGCCCACATAGTCTTGGTGAGACTTGGTGAAGAATGCTTCCAGTGTGTTCAGATGGCAGCCAGAGCTTGTGTGAAAGTTGTGTGAACAGCGTGGTCCATTGGACCCATCTCTCCAGCGATCAGTTATTTGAGAAATAACTGTCATATCCCCCAGCCCCAAAGGTGTGCCTGAGACCACAGAGACACGTACGATCTCTTCTTCTTCACTGTAAATTTTTATTAAAATTACCTTCATTATAAGACAGTGTTCATTATAAAACCAAAAACGCCGGTCTCCCAGGGCCCTGTGGATTAATAAGGACAGCGGTGTATTTTAAGCCGTAAACTCAGCTCCTCACTGTCCTTAATCTCCTTCCTACTTCACAAGGCCAAATTAACACCTCTCCTCAGCTCTGACGGGACCTCATTAGCAAACTTCCAGGGAAAGAAAGAGGAGAGCAGAACGAAAAAGAGGAGAAGAAGGAGGGAAGCGACCAATGACAGCCACCAGCTCTGGGATTAACCCTTTCTCCTCCTCCAGCTCCCCAGAAAAACTAGGTCGGCAACGTGTTTCTAATCAGTCGCCTGGTTAGCGATAATTAGAAGGCGAGATTGGACGGGAGAAGAGAGAGAAAGTGGGTGGGGAACATTGAAATGAAAAAGAAAAGAAAGAGAACCTGTCATGTCGCAAACACTTCAAAGGAGCCGGCTTCTCTTTTAGAAGTGGCATGATGAGGGTCCAAATGCCACGAGGCGCTCCTGTGGGCCTCCGAACTTGGAGAGGGGGTGGTGGAGGCAAGAACCCAGTTATTTCTCATATGTATGCAACCTCACACACACACACACACACACACACACACACACACACACACACACCAGGACGTTTCTATCGCTCACCACCTGTACAGTGCAGCTGCAGGGGAGCTGTAGTCTATCCCAAACCACACAGACAAACAAGCACATCCAACTCCACCTTCTCCACACACTCTCCCCCTGCAGCAGCAGGTCGAGGTCCCACAGCTTACACTGAGGTCGTGCAGACTACCGCTGGGTAAAGTTCACAAGCCTCCGCAAGCTGTTTGACATTACCAATAAGGTCAGAGTGTATCAGAAAACACCAGAGGATTATATTATTATGGTGTGTCGAGTTGTTCCCTGCACCTTGCCATCAAAAAATAACCAGGGCCTTTTTTCCTCTGCTAGCTGGCTCACTTATCAATGTGCAGAACACAAGCCTGTGGAAGTTACACAAGAGAGACCGAGAAGTACCCAGAGAGGCCTGCAGCTAACAAGACAAAAAAATCATCGCTCATTATCAGCCATCTATTTTATCTACTAGGAAACATCTCTAGACTCCCAGTTGTCAGACATCAATGGTGCTTAAATTAATCCTATGGGTGCCTGTTTGCACAATAAAGATATGGAAGGGTGCCTCTGATATTTGTGCGACTTTACAGTCAGAGTAATTGAATTAGCACACAAATCAACCACAGAGTATTGCAGAGTGTAGCATTGAATGTGATAGCTCCTGCCAGGGAGCACAGTTGCTTGGGCATAGTCAATTATAAAGCATTAAAAAGAAGCTGCCAATAATCACTTCCAAGAGAACTGAACAATCCATGCTGAGTGTTCTCATGTTTACCGATGATAGGGCTTTCAGGTTAGCGCTGAGCGGGAGTTTAGAAGGGAGAGTGAGACTGGAAACATATTTGCGGTATCATTTCCATAAGCCTCTGCTTTGCGGACCATAACGCAGCTCACAAATGTGATTTATGACCTTGGTTTAATGGCTGGAGCAGAGTCTTGGTAGGTATCAGATGACTTTTTCAATATGGCGACGTCAGAGGGGGCACTGTGAATGCACCATCACAACAGGAAATGAGGGCTTGTCTCAGCCAAGAAAATATGAGAAGCCAGATATCTGATCATCTAATGGCAGATAGATGCTACTTCACTTTGACAGAAAAGGCATCAGTCAATAAGCACCAGATGAGCAGCAACATGAAAACTATGCCAGGGATTCCTTACCCCAGCCATCAGATCATTCACTCCGGGAGAACAGTGACCTGTACTGGTCAATGCACACAGAATATCCTGCAGGAACGTCTCTTGTCCCAGTAAATGATAATATCCAAATCACCATAAAAAATGTTTCAAGGGATTAGCATTTCCCACTTTTTTTTACATTTTATTCTGCAGGCTCTGTAAATGTTTCATAAACCTGTAAAATGCAAAGAAGTGTGACTCACCTGAGCCTGGAAACTCTTGAGCACAGGTGCCACCATCTCCCGCACTTCCTATGTAGAGACAAAAAAAGTAAACCCTGCCTCAGCATTTTTCATTTTGCAAATGTTCCACCTGTTTAAAGACTCACATTGGCCCCCAGTGAGGCACAACCAGCACCACTAGAAAGAGGACTGAGAATTTTTTAATGTTAATGTATTCTCTCCATAGCTCCTTGCGTGTGTGTGAGAGCGAGGTATGTTGTTATGGGGTGTGGGTATTAGCAGTTAAACCTAAAGGGTTTGAGTGGGCATGTTTGAAAAGCGGGGCTTTCCAGTAGCTTGCGTTAGAGCGCAGAGATTCAGACTTGTGCGAGCTCCCACAGCATCAGGTAAGGGGATTGTGCTGCCAGTGGTGACAGCCTGATCCTGTCTTAAACGCCTGTATTATACTGACAAGATTACAGCACTACACTGCATATAAGCAGGCTGAGATAGGCAGGCAGCATAACCACAGCAAATAGCCTCAGGGCTCATTTATAAAATATAAAAAATATTCTCTTTGACTTCAGCTTGGATGTCAATGGATGATCATTTCAAAGAAGATGATAGAAAAGGACAAAATCATATCGCTATCATTCTTTGAGTTTGCTTTTCATGCATTCAGTTCCATACCTTAATTGCCATTTTGCCTTAGAAAAGTAAGGTGGAACAAGGTCTCGGCTTTACAGAAGCAGTAAAAAAACGTTCATGCATGGACGGCAAACATGAAGATACATTCTCAGTCTGTGATTTAAAATGGTTGTGAACATTAAATCAACTGACACATAAAAAACAGCAAAAGTAATTTATCAGTTGCATCTGTAAGGTACATAACGTCAATGAGTTTGGCTAAATTCTGCTCAGAGAGCTACAGAAAAAAAAGCATAATACTCCTACTATTAGTTATTTTTCTTGTATTAGTGTCATCTAACATTTATGTTGGATTAAACTATTGTATGCATTTGCAGTTCCTGAATACTGCTGACCAAGTAGAGGTGTGCAGACATTAGGTAGCGAGGAGTTTAGGAGAGGTTCACAAACTTTATTCATATGCCCACATGTTAAGAATGAGGACTGTGGATTTTGTCCCTCATCTCTTTCATTGGAGTCACGTCAATGCTTCAAGTATACAAAAGGAACAATTAAAGTGAAACTCAATAAATTCACACGAGCTTTTTGAACCTTTTGAAAAATGCAAATCAATCCTTTAAAATGAAGAAATTTACACTTTTTTCTTTGCTTGCTGATTAAGTCACATGAGAAACCTGTGGAACCAAATTTGCATGTGTCTCAGATTGCAATTAAAGGAGATATGGTGAGAGTCACAGAGCCCTGCTCAAAAAGTTCAAACTTCATCAGTCCATATCTCCCATTATTGCGTTTATTGACATCTAAAAATCTATGAAGCCTAATTTCCTGGGACCAAATGAGGACACCAAATATGGTGTTTATTTAGTTTTTAAAACTTTTGTTAGTGCAAAACCCTAATCACAAGGGAGGATTTCTACTCTGCACAGTATCTGCAGGCAGAAAGGCATACTCACGAGCATGCTCTGCATGCACGACTCCGTCCCACTAGCACGAGCACAAACTCATCCTTGCCTACACACTCGCAACTGCTCAACACTGCCTTAAAGTCGCTCAACTTGCCAATTTCAATTGTGGGACTTTGGAGGCGGGGACAATGGCTGATGCTCCTCTCCTTTGATTGGTCACTTTGAACACTCCAGTGACAGGCTTATCTACTTTCTTACACTATTCCTATGCTAACATGATGTTATGTCTGGGGACAAGTCAGAGCTTTCTCCAAATGAAAAATTGTAAAAACATGGTGAAAAATGTTTTTGTACGTGCACAAATTGTGAGACTAAATAAACACCATAGCTTAATTTCACTAAGATCTGTGATGGCGTGGCCCCTTTGTTCTAAATTTGCACAGTGTATTTGCCTTCAATGAAACCCTGTTTTAATTGTAGCATTAAAAAGGTGTGTTTGTTACAGTTGTTGGGCGACACGTGTTCACTGTTATATCACAGAAACATTTTGGGAGAAAGTCAGTATATCAGCTGCTCAATCAGACACCATGATAACATCATCATAAACTGGTGCATCGGCTTTAGAGTTAGGAGCAAAGTGGTCTTACAGCATTTGGAAATGAGCCTCCTGGACTCTCACCTCACCTCAGCAGAGGCAGACGTTACTGCAAGGCCTCTGCATTTAAATATTAACTGAGCTACTAGAAGGGAGGGAGTGGGGGGAGGCTAACTCTGGCTCCTCTCAAGTGTTGTGTTCAGTTAATATATACTAATGCAGATTTTACAGAAAGAAAGAAATAATTCCCTGTACAAAAGGTGCATGCGGGGGCTTGAGCAACGGTACTGATGCAGTACCTGCCGAGGTGAAGAAGAGGAAAACGACACATGGAGCTGTAAGCCAGTGCTTGTGTGTGTGTGTGTGTGTGTATGTGTGTGTGTGTGTGTGTGTGTGTGTGTGAGGAGGGGGGTGTTTCGACTCACCTCAGGGACATTTCTCTTGAACTCCCTGCTCAGCTCTACCAGGTGCTTGTGGGAATGTTCGCTCTCCTCTTGTCGACCCGCCAGCTCAGATGCTACAGAGTTTAGCTCCCTCTGTGAACGCACAAAAGGAGAGAGAAGCGGCGTGAGAGGAAGCGAGTGGAGGGAGACGGCACTTTAGGGAACCAGCCTGCCAACGCTCATCCAGTAAAGCTTAGAGTGTACATAAATAAAAATACACTGCTGAATATTAACAATGTAATCCTTCATGATCTCACAGCAGTAATACTTACAGCTAGCCCTGGCCCATAAATAATTAAGCCAAAATAAATCCAATGCCTACAGTAGCAGAAGGCCTTTTAGATAATCAGTATTTGAAATAATCAATACGCTTGCAACGGCTATAGAGCGCCAGCGAGGGAGTGGGGCAAGAGGGAGGGAGTAGAGAGAGAGAGTGAGTGAGTGAGAGGAAGAGAGAGGTGGGGGTGGGGGTATTGGGTCACGTGTAGAGACCCAATAACCTGACAAACACCCTTACAAACAAATAAGAGCTTCCTCCTGAAATGAAGGGCTGTTTTTTAAGCCTGGCCAAACACCTCCCTGCTTTTGTAATTACCACAGGTCAGATCTATTTTCAGCTTCTTTTCAATCTCTCTTCCATCGCCTGCACCGATCGTTATATTGATTCCACACAGATTTTCAATACAGGACAGCAGCCTCCATAGCTTTAACCAAATTACCCTTTTGCTACAGCAACAGCCCCCGATCGCTATTGCATTAATGTATCCGCACATCAGTTGTTTACATGTTTGTGTTATGCGAAATGAAAGCTCCACCCCGGCAACATGTCTGATCCACTATTCAGAGCTGTCTGTGCAGCAGGCCCTTCATCAGAACCTTGCATTCATGCTGGACTCAGCTGCACCACATGCCATCCGCAAATCCAATATTATTGATCCGTCATCCAATTCCCGGCTCTTTCAGCAAACAGGAAAGGGAAAAAAAAGGAAAAGAGATTCAAACTCTACAACCCTGTACTGAGCAACGCTTGTAACAGACAACCGCACATTCACCTCGTCTTCATTTTGACTGAAACTCTCGGTAATTGATGAGGATCTTCTCTTGTAACTGCTGGGTTAGGGTTACATTATAAAAGTGGAGAAGGGGATTCAATTACCACTGCGAATTTATATATGACGCCGGGAAATTAAATTGACTGTGTTTTAATTAATCTGCAGTCTTACTTAAAGGCAATTTAATAAATCATCACACAAAGAAGGCGAAAAAAAACCGGGAGGAAATGGAAAGGGTGAAACTTCAACAGAGGGGGCCTCGTGAGATGTTGGCAGCCTGTCGGTCAGAAGTAAGCTGTTAATTGAAGGGCTGCTGGTTCAAGTCCCTGGACTGACGAGTCAGAGAGTGGCTTAAGTACGACTGAGTGTAGAACGACTGAGTGAAGTAAGAAGCATACAGTAGCTATAAGCTGACATGTTGCACTAAAACATTACAACTAGCAAATATGTTTGCAATTTGACGCTACAGGTTCATAAACACTGTGCTAAAGACTTTTTCTGAAAAAAACTGGATTGACATTTCTTAGCCTGCTGTACAATATTCAAATGCAATAAGTGAACCAGCGCCACCTGTCTGTTGTATTTACACTGACATGTCACCAAATTGAAAATGTGATGGTCATTGACAAATGGACAAAGTCAGTAGCAGGAACAGACTTGTAACAGAAACAATAATTGTTAGTAGGATACATTTGCTGTTGATGAGATTTGTGGGTGTTGTGTCCTCTTGTCCTATTCTTTATTTGTAACAAAGAAAGAAAATACATTTAAACACCTGGTTACCACCACTGCTCCTCTCACTCAAAAATCTCAGGTTCAACAGTAAGAAAGTATCCAAATATTTCAGATACATCTGGTTTGTGAAAAATGTGTCATTCCTGATAAATCGTACTGTCACTGAAAAAGGCCATGGCCGTACAGGATAAGGCGACAGGACTTAATAAATTCCTGTTAGGCCTTACAGTCCGTCTGGGATGAGCCTTCCTGGAGATTAGAGAGAGGGCTTTCAGAAGCCGGCCAACCTCCACTAGATTCAAATGACCCCAGACCGGCTAATCTTGCCAAGAGAAAATTCCTCCAGAAGTGACTGAGTGGATTTTATAAGTACTTAAGATATAACAGTGTGGTGATTCTAAGTTCGCCAGTGCTCCCGCGGCCTCAGCGTAGAGCTGGGTTTGCTTCTTATTGCAGCTCAGCTGATGAGAATGGTGAATACTCGCGCTATGAGAGCCAAACAGTGCAATCATAATGGCATGGTTATTTTGAAAGCACCCCCACAGTTTCTAGACCATTATGAGGAAGGGAAGCCTGGGCAACAGCCCATCAAATGAAAACTACTGTCTGTCTTCTGCAAGGAAGCGAAGCAGAACAGAATGTTTGCTACTTTGGTTGTCTTGCTCAGATTGATGATGGGAGGAACTCCACAATGTAGTGTTTCTCAATGTTATCTCCAGAGACAAAAGATACTGAAGATTTTTCTTCTGCCTCTTAATCTGATGGGATCCATTTCAACCTATAACCAGGGCACCCACAAGATCCCTGATAAAATTCACTTTCCATTATGTTGATCTTCATCCTTCGTGAAATCTTTTGTGTGAACATGTTGCTTCTGATGTCTTGAACACTTAAAGAGGGGGAAAGGCAAGTTCGACACGTTGTTCTAAAAGGAGCTTCACGGTATTAATTTGACAGGTTTTAAAAAGGACGATTGGGACTAAATTTTCAGTGTGTGGCAGTCGGGTCAATACAGGGCTCCTGTCATTAAGTCTCTGCCAGTCAAACATCCAGCCATAATTGATGAGTTTCCCCTGGGGAGGGTGGAGCTGTCATTGGGGCTGGAACGGCAGGAAGGAGGGATTTTAAACATGGAACCAGTCCCGACGTGCTCGAGTCAATCTGCAGGGAAAGCAATCTTTGGGACTTCTGACTCAAAAACAAAGACCAAGAAACAAGACGCTTATTGGTTTTAACAGGATAGACCTGCAGCCTATTGGCAGCCAGTAAATGGACTTAAAGCTCAATGAACTGCTGAACACCAGAAAAAAAAAACGTCCTTTGGCTTACAATTATAGGCTTTGCACTTCTGACACAGAGGGACTGAAGATGAACCTGATCAGTGGAGCCAGCACATGATCTGACAGGCAGCCATTTATATCATTGATATCATTAAGAGTTCTCAGGTTTAAGCAAGTGTGTTGCTGCAAAAGTTCAGGGTGTGGTCCCTTCAGACTCTGATGGGTGAGGGATAAAGGAGAATATAAAAAATAGAGGCCAGGAGAGGAGAGAGATCTATGAAAAACACAAAGCGTTGAGGGTTGTCAAGCATGCTACATTCCATTTAAATGATGGGTGCGATATGTCTATTTCAGGTAAGGGCAGCAAACACAGGGTATGAAGTCTAATAATCAAATCCAGTAGAAGATTTGCAGAGCAAAAATGGCTCTTGACAAAGATGGGAGCAGAAAGATGTGCTGTAACAATCTGCGCAAGTGTGAATGTTGTAGGTAAAAAGCATTGTGCTGGAGTAGATTTGACATTGATTCATTAAACCTAGCTTGTCTTGATTACATCTGTAGTGGTAAGCTATTTTCTAGCCTTTCACAAAGACAACCCATGGTGGAAAATGTTGACAACTGGGAAAAAAAAACTAGCAAGGTACTGCAATGAGGTTGACTGAGTCAAAATCACTATTGTGTGTGGAGTGGGCTTGGACGGCACAAATTAAAGAGGAAAAAATGGGGAGGAGGAGGAGAGAGGGGAAAATGCAGATGGGGTATTATTTTTCTTTTTGTATCCCATCTAATTGCAATCATAGGCAGATGTCTGAAAGTGTGACAGCATCAGCAGAATTGCTGCTGAGAGCACAGAATCTTTGTCTAAAAATAATCAGACATTCTGTGTGCTGCTGTTTGTTATAATGGTAATCGATGCTGGAGGCTTTGAATTCCATCAATTTATAGATCCACTCTGTTCTGCCTGGTGACTGTACTGCCTCACAACCCCCACCCGCAATCGCACACCGACGCAGAAAAAACCACACACACTTGCACGCAAGGTCTCGCACAAAAGAGTGGCCGGGCACATGCGCTCGCACAGACACATGTGCGCTGACATCCATGCATAGGGGCTGCAGCAAGGCAGAGCAGGGACCGGCGTGTGATTAAGATAAGTGTAGTTTCCTTTCATACATTCCTTATCACCTCCCATTCTCTGTGAGGCACAAGATTGTCCATAGCTAACTCAGATTAGCCCCCACATCTCAGACGCCACATTTGAGAGTAGGGGGGGACTGATCAATAAATCAAATCACCACAATCAATGGCCCCAATCACTGCAGTCTAGTCTGGCCTCAACATTATTACTGGAACCCCACCTCCCTTCAGCCACTGGGGCAGGACGGAGCAGTTTGGTGGGGGGATGGAGTGGTGTGGGGAAGAGCACCGTGGCGTCTGTCCATATGAAAGATCCAAAACGAACTGTTATCTAGCCTGCTTCGGGCTGAGCATCAGTTAAGGGCCAAACACGCAGGCAAAGAGAGTGTGTGTGTGTGTGTGCATGTGTGTGTTTGTGTGCATGTGCGAGTGTGTGCTGGACCGTCCACAAAGAGGGAGTCAGGCGGGAGGTGCCTCTGACCTCCACGACCTGGCGCTCGGAACGTGAGCTGAGCACACTGCCTCTGACGGGGAGGAGGGTGAGCGGCTGCTATCACCTGGCATCTCCCTCCATCTGTTTACCACCGACTAATGCTCCTTCACTTTTACTCTCCATCAGCTCAACTAGAGCAGTTCACACCACCACCGCACTGCTGTTAGACCACACCTGGGTCGAAACACTATTTGCATTTAGGAGTTTGTTTTGACCTGCTGCAAGTGCCAGATGGGTGGAGTTAACCTCAGGGTGATGATTGTGTTTGCTGATAAGTGTTTGCCAAAACCAAAATATGCTTCTAGATGTGCAAATTTTAAACTAACTGCAAACTGCCGTTTTCTTTATTGACATTGTTTTTAAGCATTTTGTCTTTATTGCACATCGACAATTTAA